CGGCAATCACTAACCATCAGTTGAGCCGTATGCTCGTTTGCCCCCTCTCTTATAAAACATTGATTTCGAAATATTTTCATCCAAGCAGATAAAGGTTTGTTGAATAAAATTGATGGCACAAATTAATAAGAAGTAGTCGATGGTTTTCCGCTAAGCAAGTGGTAAATCTACCGGGTGCTTCAAAAAAATGTATACACACTTTGAACTTCCATAGAAAATTTATTTACCGTTCTACAAAGTTAAATTTCAGGAAAATAGAAAGCTGAAAGTCCAATGTAAATGAAACATTAATAACAAATGTTAATACTGTTCAAATTGGTGACCTGCAGCATCAATACAATTCTGAGTACGAGTCACCACAGATTCTGTACATCGTATCAAAACGTCCAATGAGATTTCTCTACACACTGCTTGAATCTCATTCCAAAGAATGTCTAGGTTACGTGGTTTACGTTTGTACACCTCATCTTTTACTGTGCCCCACAAGAAGAAATCCAATGGTGTAAGGTCTGGAGAGCGTGCTGGAAACTCGATTGGCCCCCTGCGTCCTATCCACTGGCCCGACAAATTTTGATCCAGGTAAGCTCGTACGTCCCTGTGATAGTGCGGCGGAGCACCATCTTGTTGAAAATAAAAATCATCATTACCGTATAATGCACGAATTGCAGGAAATATGGAATCAGCAAGCATTGTTAGGTAATTAATACCAGTTACAGTGCCTTCAAATCGAAAAGGTCCAATGAGTCCCCTTGAAGACAAACCGCTCCACACATTTATACCAGGCAAATTTACAGCTTTTTCAATTGTAATGTGAGGATTTTCTTCACCCCAGTAAACACAATTGTGCCTATTGACAGTTCCATTAAGTTTGAATTGGGCTTCATCCGACCAAATGATGCTACCCATAAATCCCGGTTCACGTATCCCGTATCACGTTATAACCTGCTTACGTTCTTCAAAACTCAAACGTACGTCCCCCATGTTGATATTACAAATTCCAACTGATAATATAACATAGAGGGACTATTATGCTGGCACCTGGTGAAGAAATATAACATTAGCCTTGTAGAGCGGAAACACTACAATAGTTTAAAGTGTGTATACATTTTTTTGAAGCACTCTGTATATATAATAAAATCAATTGTCGCATGTATTAAAGAAAGAAAGGTTATTCAGTTGAGAACGACTGGAGTGATTTTGATGAACACTCACATTCACAAACTCACAATTGGACCCGGTAAGTGGCACTGTTGTCGAGATCTAGAAAACAAACGTGCAAAGCCTTAATTTAGCATTTTTATTTAAAGCTCACCGAGAAAACAGAACAGATGATATTTGCCAACCGTCAATCACAATGTCAATTTTTTTTTTTTTTAAAATAACTATATGGCCCTTGGTATTGTGATAATATCACAATAATTCTTCGGTCTGTCACACCTTGTCTTGAGGCTTTCCGGTGGAAAAGGAGTTAGTGGTTATTATTTTTTCTTCACAATATGCTGATGCGTCACATTGCGAAGCCCTTGGGAGATTTCGACGACAGCTCAACCTAGCGGACAGTTGATGACGACAGCCACTCAAGTTCATGAGGCGCCCAAGCGATCAAAATAACTTGAGGTTTATATCGACATCAAAGCACTTGTTTTGTCGTTTTCTCTAATAGTTCACACGCGCAGATACTTAATTCACAAAATCGCATCACTTTTAACGAATCAAAATCCACTTCAAACCATTATACAAGCGACAAAACAGGAGCTACAATCCGTCTACGGCCAAGTTCCCGCCAAAACTGGTCAATTTCTTGAATCCGCGTAAGGGATTGACAGCTGCCAACTAGTGCCACCAACAGGTGGTTTATTATATTTTTCGGTATATCGATAATTATAAAAATATCAATATCGGAGTTTTATATATAAGCTTATTTATCGATATATCGAAAATCCAATATTTTAAAAAATATCAACAGTTTTAATTTGAACTGATCAGTTGGAATGATCAGATCTGTGTGTAGCGTCCTAACACATCCGATCGATTCGATGCATCGTATTGTAAACATCAGTAAACATTCGAGTGAATACTAAGCATCGATGTATATCGGATAATATCCCTATTACACTACCCTGAATCAGGCTCCCTATGCACTGCTTCAGGGTGGTGTAATAAGAGAAAGGGAGTAAGGGTAACTAATTAGGGTGACAAAGTGCACCCTGTCTGCAGTGCCCTTGCCACCGTGTAGTATAATAACACTTAGGGTATTTAGGGATGAAAACGATACATCAATTCCTTCAAACATCGATATATCGTTCATAAATATGGTTAATCATGAGCGATGTTTTATGAACGAAGTTTTGGCTTGCCATCAAAGGTTTCGAAATAACCAACTATTTTAAGGTATAAAATTCCGTATGTTAAAAGTTGCAAACGATGATTATCACGAATCTTATATCACCGAAAAATAAATATACCAAAAAAATATTTCTCAATGCTAGATAATGTCTAAATTTTTAAAGTTAGAAGGTTTATTTAGAGGAAATATCACAATCCCGAAAATTTTAATTACCAATCAACAAACATGCGAATGGTCTTTCAGTCGAAAATAAATTGTACTCTCGACTCAAATATACTTGAACTTCAGAAGTGCAATTATCTTCAATCGGTTATTTTATTTTTGATGTAATTGTGGTTTATTTTTATTGTGGTAATGAATTAACATAAGTTAACAATTAATATTAAAAATGGATTGGAATGGTTTTATTCATTTTTTTATTAATAATTATATTGTTTGAGCTTTAACTTAATCAATAGCTTAAGTACAGTTTTTTAGAGTACTAGTTATTTCGTATTGGAAATTATTTTATCAGCTTACGGTAGGTACTTCGTATTTCGTTACAATCACTTTTCTGAAACATTGATTTTGATGGATGAACGGTTATTCAACTGCTTGTATTTCGGTATAGTTTAGTAGATGCATTGAGAAAATGCGATAATACTGAAGGTGACATAAATGGAACTACCATAAAGAAGTAACGAACCAAAATATAAGAAATAAAACTAAAGCAGAAGAAGAGTTTCATATATTACATGCGTTGGAGATGTGGGATGGCACGAAAGGGTTTTTCGTTTAAAGGGTTATTCCATTCATTTAGGCAAATAGATCTTAGCAAGGCTTCATAGCCTAGCTAAGATCTATTTGCCTATCGTGGCAACTTTGATATCTAGTGAGCGGTTATTTTCAGAGGCTGGATCTACAATCACCCAGGAGAAACCGCTCACTAGGCGTCAGATTGTTAAAATTGTTATTTTAAATTTCAATTCGAAAGATATAAACATAAAAGTAAAAAAAATCTTGTTCTGATAATAATGCGATAAAAATGAATGTGTAAATATAATACATATATTTAAATGGTGATAAAAACATCGAAAAATTCAATATATCGAACATAAGCTTCCATGTTTTAATGAGCGATGTTGTATCCTATAGATGTGCTTTTTCTATCTAACTCTTTGGTGGGTTGGGTCAACAAATAAACAATGTAAAAAGGTATATTTAGTATGTATTTTATACGTGTATTTTTGGTTTTAATCAATATTAGTATGTACCTATGTTTTAAAATAAAATTAGCTTTATATCAGTCTTCACAAAACAACATCAGTCTAGTTTTAAGATGTAGGTAAATAAGCTATTTAATAGTTCAAATATTCTTAAATAACTTAGCTGTCATAAAATTCTAAATAACAAATTATTATGGTAGTAGCTAATTCTCTTTGTAACACAAAGCGCGTACACAAATACACGCACTTAAATCACTAGAAATCTTAAAGTCACAAATAATCTTTGCCTACACTTACACTCTTTCTTTAAACCATATTTTGTTTTTCGATATAAGGAGCTAAACCCAATAGCTCCTTGAACTCCTCTTCCCCTATTCGCAGGTATTCGAAATTCATTGGGCTCCAGAACTCCGATAATCCGCATATTTGAGTGATTTTACCTAAGTTTTAAATAGTCCTTCACCTATAGCTTTCTTCTAAACACGACAATAGTAAAGAAAAGAGTTCTTTACTATTAATAGTCATGTTTTTTCGTCTTCAAAAGGTCCAGTAATAAAATTTTGGCCCTTATCCCACTACATCACGCAAAACATGACGATATATCGATATTAATCACGCAATAATATTGATAGTGTTTAAAAATATCGATTCAATAAATATATATACTTTTTCACATCCCTATGACCGAGAAAGGGCGTAAAATCAGGGTAGTGTAATAACTCAGGTCCCGAATTAGGGTACACGCCCACCCTTCATCCAGGGGTCCAGGGCCCTGATTCAGGGTAGTAGCATAACGAAGATTCCTGAACTTTATTAACCATTGACGAATGACGAAATAGAAATGCGCTATAAAAATGGCCGATTAAGTCAGTGGAAATGACAACTAATTCATAGCTATTAGCCATAGAGGAAAGTAATATATCGTACACTATTAGCTAAGTTCAAAGTTATTAAAGTCACAGATCACTATCACTCCTAGACTAGATTATAATAATTTAATTTGCTGTGTTGTAGTAACTGTATCACAGAATATATCACCTAATAGTACTATAGTACTACGTACCCATAGCACAGAACACTATTACTCCTATATATACTTATTATACTCTTTGTTCCTATAGTCCTTGTTATCGAATAATAATAGTGGTATTAATATTCAGTAATCTATGTGATAGGGTATTTGATATTTGTTTCATGATTCACACTGAACATTGTTAATGGTCGTCGAATTTAACTTTTTATTGAGTATTTTTCCACATCATACGCAAAATATACCTTAAATAAACGTTTTTGTGTTGTTTTTGCAATGTTTTCTTTTTACATATTTGTGATGTGGTGAAACCATTTGTTTCCTGGATTTTTAAAAAGGAACCAAAGTTGGAAATGTAGTATTTCAAGTTGATGTATTATAACTTGATATCTATTTGCCTTAAGAAAAAAATATCAATATGGTGAGTTAACTTTTTACAGCCACTGCATAAATTGAAACCAGTTAATTAAGTTTGTTTTTGTTGCATGTAGAGCTATCAGGATGAATCTAGTTATGTGGGATCATTCCCTAAGGACTTCAGCTATGGACCTTTTGAACAAAACGGAGAAAATGATAACACTTCACTACAGGAAGATCATAAACCACGAATTCTTCTCATGGGATTAAGAAGGTAGGCTCACCTTAGTTGAGAATTGTTACATACATGTACAAAGTTTCAGGACTTAGAAATGCTTAGTTTTCAAGAACATTATGAAAAAAATTACAAATTTGTTTGTCTTTAACATGATATGTTGAATTTCGTGTGTGCAAGATGTGTTGGGGTTTTATAAAATTTAAATATTTTTATTTTTGTACTTTCTAATTAAATTTAAAAATATCTAGTTTTACATTAATTATTTGAAGACAACAGAACAGAAAGCTTTTTATTCAATATTGATTATAAATAGTACTTATTGAGTCACTTTTTTTAATTTACCACTGGTTCAGAAAAAATCCTCTGTCCTGGGATGAACCAGCAAGAAACTAGCGGGATTTTTTTAAAATTAAAAATCATGTATGTTACAATTAACAACACAAAGCAAATTAGAAATTGCTTGGTAGCGATCACCCTTCCCAGGGGTTATTATCATCTATAAATTCCTTAAAATTATAATAGAGATGGGCCGAATATGGATATCACCAAATACGAATATTCGGCTGAATGTTCGGGAAAACTTTTACCGAACCTAATACTCGGCTGAATATTATTCGGCAGGATCACCTTGGTACCTAACCAATTTTTGTCAAAACTTGTTACCGTAAAGCGCACGGGATTAGCGCTGGACCCTGCCCCTCGCACGCTCCTCCCCCACCACACCTGACATGTTGTTGCATTATCTAGTACTAAGCAAATTGTCGGCACATGCTTATGTTTTCACTATTTTTGTGAGAAAAAGTATTTCCTTATGTTATTCTTAGTAAAAATTGATAATAATATATAAAAATGAATGGCAGGAGATCTACTATTTGGACTTATTTTAAAGAAACTGATGACCAAAGTAAACTGAAATGTACTATAGTAATGTAATGTTTCTTTGTTTAATTTCAAAAACATTTTATCGAGATATCTATTTGCTATAATTAGAAATAAATCTACAGTGCCTCAAAAACAACACTATACAAATAGATCTAACCCATAAATATAATATACTTTTAACAGTAAAATTATGTAAGACACTTAATTTTTATATTTCAATACAATGGACACTTTGAATACCACTTTAACGAATGTTTGGTGATTTAGTTGAATATTTGACTGAATATGAATAATCGGTAAAGCTCCTGAATGTGCAGAATACCGAATATGATATAAATATTCGGCTCATCTCTAATTATAATAACCCTTTTTGAACTTTGTGCAGGTCACATTTTGGATATTTTTTTAAAATATATATGTTATGGTTAAAACTATTTCTATTATGATTAATGGAAGTTAGGGCTGGAGCATCTGCTTGATCCTGTTGTGAGAAGTAATATCAGCAACAAAAAGTTAAGCTGTGACTGGCCTCAAACATCTAGTTCAATGTGCCGGGCTTAGGAAAACTACTTAGGCTAGGAAAACCTAGTTTGTCCTTAAATTGGGTTTGGCTGGTAATAAAGTGCTTTTGGCTGCAAATTTGCTAAAAACTAGTTTTGACTGAAATTTCAATAAAAATAATGTAAAAAGTATGGGTTACAGCAGAGGCAGCTCATCCATCCCCTCTCCTCACATACAAAACTGCATTTCCGAGGATTAGTACCAGGGGGTCCCACTCTTCCTCCCCTTCCTTTCATTTTCCTATTTCAATAGTACATTATGTTATGTTTTGAAAACGGTGCTGAATGTTTTTAAAAACTACAATTGTCTTAATGACATTTAATAGTATTCTATTACAATAATTGAATATAATTCTGAATACAATGGCTTTTAAACGGTGGTCAAAACAAGTGTGTATTGAAAGTATGACACCTTGCTTAAACTAGCAATGACAATTAAATAGTGGAGTCAGTTCTGTAACATTCTACTTCATTAATTGAGCAAGTGGATGAGTTCGTATATTTGGGATGTGTATTCAGCAGGGATGGGAGATATGATAAGGATATTGAATGACGAGTCATCATCATTCTCAAAACCATTTCCCATTATCTGGGGTCGGCGCAGTAAATCTTGTTGTTCCATTCCTCTCTATCAGCCGTCATTTCCATACTTACTCCTTTCATTCTCATATCACTCTTCACACAATCGATCCATCTTTTATTCGGCCTTCCTCTGCCCGTGTGTCCCTCCACATTCATATTCAACACTCGTTTTGTGACATGACTTTCATCCCTCCGCATCACATCCCCAAACCATGCCAATCTGCTTCCTCTCACCTTTTCTACCACTGGCGCTACTTTCAGGCTTCCTCTTATATACTCATTCCTTATCTTATCCATCCTTGTCACACCACACATCCATCGTAACATTCTCATTTCATTCGCATGCAGTCTATTTTCATCCTTCTTCTTGACGGCCCAGCATTCACTTCCATACATGACGACAGGTCGGATGATCGATTTGTAAATTTTCCCCTTCAGCCTTATTGGCATTCGGGGATCGCACGTTGTGGCTGTGACCTGTCGCCATTTCATCCACCCTGCGTTAATCCTATGCTGCACAGCTCTATCTATTCCGCAGTCGCCTTGAATGAGGGAACCGAGGTACTTGAATTCTGAGCAGGTAGGCAGTATAGCGCCATCCAACGACATGGGTACAGGACTGGAAAGACCGCCGAAATCACAGCACAGATATTCGGTTTTGGATCTGCTGATCTTCAAGCCAACACTTTCCAGCCTCTGTTGCCACCCCGTCAGTCTGCTCTGTACCTCGATGCCTTCTTCCCCGACAAGCACGATGTCATCGGCAAAAAGCATGCACCAGGGTGCCTCATCCTGCAGGTCCGACGTCAAAGCGTCCATAATCAGTAGGAAGAGGTAAGGGCTCAATGCCGACCCTTGGTGCAGCCCTACCGCCACATCGATACTGCCCGTAGTTCCCGCGGCAGATCGTACACATGTACGGGATGCTCTGTACATAGCACGGACTAACCTCACATACTTCCCAGGCATACCTTTCATCTTTAACGTCCACCACAAAACCTCACGGGGAACCCGATCGTACGCCTTTTCAAGGTCGACAAAAACCATGTGCAGATTTTTATGCACGCGCTTGTACTTTTCGCACAATTGGCGTAATGCGAAAATGGCATCTGTCGTACCTCGACCGGGCATGAATCCGAACTGGTTTTGTGTTATCTCACACTCTTCTCTCATTCTTTTCTCTATTATTCTTTCCCAGACTTTCATCGTATGTGACATGAGTTTTATTCCTCGGTAACTGCTGCAGTTTTGAACGTCTCCTTTGTTTTTAAAAATGGGGACCAGTATACTACTACACCATTCCTCAGGTATTTGTTCTTCCTGCAACAATTTACCGAAAAATAAACTCAACCACTTCCATCCATCCGCACTCAGCAACTTCCACACTTCTACTGGTATTCCATCTGGGCCGACCACCTTCCCATTCTTCATATTCCTAACAGCCATTTTTACTTCTTCCACACTAATTTCTCTCACTAAGCCCATATTCACTGGTGGGTTTTCAAGCATACCATTCCATTCATTCTCCTCATTCATCAATTTCTCAAAATACTCCTTCCATCGCTTCTTTATACTTTCATCGTCAGTCAAAATCCTTCCAGAATCATCTTTTATACATTTTACATGTGAAACATCTCTTCCATTCCTTTCTCTCGCTTTTGCAATTTGAAAAAGTCGTTTTTGACCTTCGGGGCTTTCAAGGGACCGATATAATTTATCTTGCGCATCTGCCCTACAAATAGCAACTTCCTTCTTTGCTCTCTTCTTACATTCTTTATACGCCCCTCTCTTATTTTCTTTTATGGAATCATTCTGGTCTTCTACGCTCTGCCATTCTTTAAAGGCATTTTTCTTTTCTCTCAAAACTTCTCTAATACTTTCACTCCACCACCACCCATCCTTATCTATCATACGCTTCCCTTTTGTTTCTCCTAACACCTTCCTTGCCACACTTCGGATACAATCAGCCATTTCCTTCCAGCACTCATTCACACTCATTCCTTCCATATCACCCATCTCTATCATCTTGTTTACAACTAGCTCTCTAAATTCACTTGCATACTCCTCCTTATGCAACAAATGCCACTTTATTTTGGGTGGGGGACGATCCTTATGTTTGTTGAGGCGAACAGTTAAGCAGATGTCAGCCAGCAGAATTCGGTGCTGGGATACTAAGTCTTCACCTGGAAGCACTTTGCAGTTTTTTACACTCTTGATTTGGTTCCGTCTTATCAGAAGATAGTCGATCTGTGTCGCGTGGTGGCCACTTTTATAAGTAACAAGATGCTGATCTCGTTTTTGGAACCACGTGTTTACTACAGCCAGGTCGAAAGCACATGCTGCTTGCAGAAGAACTTCCCCCTCACGGTTCCGCACTGCACCCCCCATCCACCGTGTACTCTTTCATACCCGTCATTCACTCTCCCTACATGTCCATTAAAATCTCCTCCCATATAAACATCCTCACTCTCAGGTATTCCCATCATCATACAATTAAATTCCTCCCAAAACTTCTCTTTCACACTCTCTTCACAGCCTGTTTGCGGAGCATACACACTTACAACATTCACTACTTTGTTTTCAATCATTAATTTAACAACTATCATTCTGTCATTTACTCTTTTCACATCTGTCACTCATTCTTTCATTCCACTATCTAACACAACTCCTACTCCATTTCGCTTCCCATCACTTCCACAATAATAAAACTTGTATCCTTCCCCAATCTCTCTTGCTTTATTGCCCTTCCATTTTGTTTCCTGCAAACAGGCAACATTCACTCTTCGTCGTTTCAAAACATCTGCTAACTCTCTTCCTCTTCCAGTCATCGTACCTACATTCCAGCTTGCAAACCTCACTCTGACATTCTTCTCTCTCCGGGCTCGCCTCTTACGTCGCACCCGCTCCGTAAGGTGCGACAACCCTTGCCCACTTCCCACAGGAGCCGGGTGCTGCCCCTGCGCGTCGCCTGCGGGGTACGCCCTAGCCCTGTCATATATCCCACAACTCGTAATATTCATAGGTTTACTGCATGGGATTTGGCAAAAGTTTTACAGTCGGCCGCCTGCCTGACACCAACCCTCTTTGGGTATGCTATTGTTGGTAGAGGAAGCTACCATTTTGGGAAAAGGAAAAAGAAGGTTGGGGGTAGGAGCGCAGGTGTAAGGATACTGTTATCTCGGCAGGAAAGGTATGAGAATAACAGTAGCTCGGGGAGCCGGGGTCGCGTACCCGTATTCCATAACAGGATCACCGGAAAGGTAGACCAGCATGAAAACCCCCTGACTAGTGAATGCAGTTGAATGACGAGTGAATGCAGGAAATAAAATAAATGTGGCTCTACACTCTATTATGAAAAGTCAGAATGTGTCAAAAAAGGCACGTATGGCAATTCACAATGCTGTATTAGTCTCTACTTTAACATATGATTGTGAAAGTTGGGTGTGGCAGAAGAAGTACGAGAGTAGAATAAATGCAGTAGAAATGCGTTCGCTAAGGAGTATGTTAGGGCTGAATCTGAGTGACAGAGTGAGAAACTGTGTCATAAAAGAAGAGTGTGGTTTGCAAGATGATGCAATGACCAGGATTAAGAAAGGAATGCTTCGGTGGTTTGGTCATGTAGAAAGAATCAATGAGGAAAGACTGACAAAGCAAATATATGTTGCAGAAGTAAATGGAAGAGTCGGAAAGGGACGTCCTAAGCGAAAGTTTGTCGACCAAATTGGCGATATACTAAAAATGGGCCAAATTAAGAGTACCCTTAACCGACAAGCATGTATGCGTAGGTATATGGATGTGGGAGTGGCGAGAGAGGTATGTCAGGATCATGCTAAATGGAAGTCTGTAGTCTCTGCCTACCCCTTTGGGTGACAGGCGTGAGTGTTTATGTATGTATATATGTAATCTAATATCAGAAGCTTAGTAAGGATAATTCATGATCAAGGTGTTGTTGTGATATTTTGGCTACTTGTAAATAATGTATAAGCCCAAAATGCTACTCATAGTAAAAGTAACTGTGACACCACAAAACTTAACAACATCTTCAAATTGAGTAGCGTTTCAGTATTTGGCCATTAGTCAGACAATTTAAGGACAAGAGTTAGTTATGATATTATGGCTCCTTCTTAATGTATAACTAGGTATAATATTTCTTGTGTAATGCTTGCTTTTGTTTTCGTAAATATTGAATATTTATTTTTGTTTTAGGTCGGGGAAATCTTCCATTCAAAAGGTTGTATTCCATAAAATGTCACCAAATGAAACATTGTTCTTAGAGTCAACTAATAAAATAGTGAAAGATGATATTAACAACAGCAGCTTTGTGCAATTTCAAATCTGGGATTTTCCTGGACAAATAGACTTTTTTGATCCTACTTTTGATTCTGACACTATATTTGGAGGATGTGGTGCACTAGTTTTTGTAATAGATGCGCAGGTACAATTTCTTTTGCATATAATATTACAATTTATAAAATTCTTCATATAATTTTCATACATAATATATATGAACTTTTGCAATGATACAATGTTTTGGAACTGATAAGTTGTAGTAATAATTGTAATCTTAAAAAAAGGATGCTTTTTTTTTAAATTAATACATTACTAACATCAGTTTTCTATGTGATTACTATTACTATACACAATATTCATCATCGTCATGATCATCAATACAGCCCTTCACAAGTCCTCTGCTGAACATAGACCTCCCCCAAAGAATGCCAACAAAGCATGGTCTTGAGCAACCTGCATCCATCAACTTTCTGCATGTCTTACCAATGCCACTCTTGTTCTACTGTGGATATCCTCATTTCTAAGTTTATCTAGCAGAGAGACCCCAAGCATAGCCCTCTCCATAGCTCGCTGAGCAACCTTGAGTGTCCTTATATGGCCACCGGTGAAGGACCACGTCTCAGATCCGTAAGTCATTCCTGACAACACTGCTTGTACAATCTAGTTTTTAGGTAAACAAACGCCGATTAACCCGTTCCACCCGCTTTCAGAAGCTCTGCTGTGAAACAATATTATCATTAGTCTTTATTAAGTTTACTGCTGGTGATAGAATTGGAGATTGTACTACTAGATCCCTTGCACCTGGTTACTGCTTCCTATTAATAACTAAATATTTTATTCCTTTTCCCTTTCTATAATAATAATAATAGTCATTTACTCTACCCATACAATGCAGAGCACCCTTAAGTTGCAAATTTACACTGGTATTCTGTGAGAGTGTGGTCCTACCCCAGTCGAGCTGACCCATTCATGCTACAATTATTATAGCTGCAGCATAGCTCTACCATGCAAAAATAATGAATATCATCAGCATTGGAAACCGAACAGAAAATTTATTCTGCACCTTTGAATAATTTTGCATTTGTCTTTATTAAACCATAACCCTGCTTTCCTATGAAATCCAATAAAATTAAAGATGTTGACATTGCCACTTAACGATCAATATCTTTTTCAATGGACAAGATAACAAGGTTACAATATTAAACTTTTAAGTACGTAGGTAAAATGTCTAGACCAAACACGTAATTCTAGTTTTTATTTCACATCGATCGGTGCACTATTACCGAAGTTATAAGCGTGGAAAGTTTACGTACATTTTTAAAATCTCGCCCGTGCCCGCGAGTAGCGCGTGACGTCATCAATTCCATGCGGCCGCGCCGCCGTACCGTTCCAGCGCGCCGATCATACGTTTGTAGTCATTGAGTTTAATATATAAATCAATGTTTGTAGTAATATTTCGCGGGTGAGTTGTTTGCCCTCGTGCGCTCTGGTGTTTTTAAGTATTTAATGATGGAAGAAGGGTTTCAAAAGGTCAATCTGACAACCTTTCAATAGTCCTTGACATGACAAACAAAGATTTTGTCGCGGCTGAAATACGCATAAGAATAAGATAATATTTTATAACCTAGGTACCCATTATTACATTAATACTTCTGGGTTTAATTTGCTAATGATAAGAATAAGTATAATAATTTCTTATATTTACGCGAACACTACACATTGATTAAAACTACTTTTACGGATTTTATCGCGTTTATTTTACTTTATTATTTTTTTTAATTCCCGACGTTTCGGGCGCTTTCCAGCACCCATTACCTCCTATGCACCCGAAAGAATAAGTATAACAAAAATACGTAAACATTCCTTACCTACCTACTTACTATCTGCCTCTAACTAATTTTGTTTTCTTATTCTCCATAAGTGTACCCTGACCGTTTTGTGGTTTTAATGGTTCAAAAAAAATTCCTGTTGTATATAAAGAAATTTACTACAAATATACCTTCGGTGTATAAAAATATGATTTTATCTAAAAATCAGATGTTTTCAATATTAATAGAAAAAGGGTCGCATTATTATTATGATTAAAAGCGTAGTTATATATTCTTCAGGCAAGGGATCAATGCCAATATTATTATCTAGAGTAGTAACAGGATCGACAATATATCTATGCTCAATTTCTTGTGAAGTATGGGGATTGCCCCTACTTCACAAGAATGTGCAACTGTTTCTGACCTAGATTTGGCATTTAGTTTTGATAGTAAAAATCTTTGTGGTTTTCCTGTATACCGATTTTGACAATCAAACTTGTGAGGCAAAACATTTCTTTTAAGTTTGAGGGGACTACCAACTAGTTTGTACTTCACGTAGTTTTCCATATCGTTTTCGACCTAGAACAAAATACAAACTTATTTAAAATCTATAAAAAAATAAGGAACCTCGTAATTTGTAGTATTCCATCAATATTTAAAATATATACCAACTATGTCATACATAAAAATAGGAAAACACGAAAAAATTTTTTAAGTCGGTTAATATTTCCAATATGGACCATCGATTTCAAAGCCCATATTTTTTTTGTAGATAGTACTCACTAAAAGAAAGCGTTTTGCAAAGTTTTAGGTTGCGGAAACTTACGGTACATGAGATATATTTTTTTAAACTTTTCATACAAATTGGCAAATAACACGCAATTACACCAATTACAAAATGAATTTGACAAATCATTGATGTCAAACGTCAATTAGTGTAGGGTTCCGAATATTTTGAAAGTATCGATACGTACTCGATACCAAGTATCGTATCAAAAGTATCAATACTACTTGATATCGAGTACATTTCGTTAATTTTGGAGACTATGGGGGTAAGAAGCCGGGAAGTTGTGCTCCGGCGCTCCGTGGCAGCTCCGGCGCTGCGGGATGAGCAGTGCCTCCGCCCTAGCGTAGGGAAGCACAGGCACCTGCTCCTCCTTCGCGCATCGGCTTTTGTCGCCTTCGGCGACCGCCTCAGCTACACTCGGGTGCGCTTCTCTACGCGGGCGGGCACAGCTCTCCTCCGCGCCTCCGGGCCTTATATACACTCGGTAGGGCAGGCAAGACCACGTGGATGGTGGGGTGCTCTGATTCGGTTTTGGGTACTTTTTGAATATTAAATAAGTAAGTCAATAAGTAAGTAAACAATTTATTGTAGTAAGAATTAGATAATACAGAAAGTTGCAAACAATAAAATAAAAGTACAAAAGCTGTACTAATTAAGAAATACAAACAAGTTGCAAACAATGAAATACAAGTACTAAGGTGGAACTTAAATAGAGTAAACTTTCTATCTACTTTATATACATATATAATTGCACTTATCAGCTCTTCCTATGCATCTAATTGGTTTGTCATAATTTTTTGTCTCCAAAATTAACGAAATGTACTCGATACCAAGTAGTATTGATACTTTTGATACGGTACTTGGTATCGAGTAGGTATCGATACTTTCAAAATATTCGGAACCCTACACTAACTGACGTTTAACATCAATCATTTGTCAAATTTATTTTGTAATTGCGTGTTATTTACCAATTTGTATGAAAAGTTTAAAAAAATATATCTCATGAACCGTAAGTTTCCGCAACCTAAAACTTTGCAAAACGCTTTCTTTTAGTGAGTACTATCTACAAAAAAATATGGGCTTTGAAATCGATGGTCCATATTGGAAATATTAGCCTTTAAGTCTTCCACTTCATAATCAAACTTCTTCCATTATTTGCGGCCCGCAAAGTATGCAGGTTGAACAGCTCTGCGATGTGTTTAGTTTTTGCTTGAAATATTGTAAAAATATAAAAACGTTTGTTAACATATTCCATATTTTAACCTTTATATGCATTATAAACATTTTAAAATTTGCTGCAAATATAGGTAGGTATCTAAACTTAATAACTCACGACAGGTCATTGACTTATCTACATTACATAGGTAAGTACTTTACCCAAGTTTGGATGTTTATTTACACTGAAGTAATTTTTGTTAAATATGCTTCTTGAAATTATAGTGATCATTAAGCGTGGAAAGGTTCAATGAATCTTTAGTTACTTAAATACTGCGACTGAGTAGGTACCAACATGCCTAATAGAAAGCATTTACTACCAATAACCAAGAGCTATCATGTGAAGATTATTATTATTTGAATACTTACATCGAAGTGATCCTCACAACAATATGCTACCGCGTTTGGTCCTAAAGGATGTGCTCTTCTCATAGCATTTGTCCATTTATTTCTGAGGATAGGGTTTCTAGGCACATTAAAAAACAACTCTTCAGGTGTTTTTGTAGCCGTATTTATACATTGAGACACCATATTACAGTGTTCTATAATTTTCTTTAAAAATATATACTAAATCCGCGCGCGACGGGCACGTTCGAGTAAATGTTGTTTTGAATTACTAAGTGCGCGTCGGGTCTCTCGCACGAAGATGGAAATCGTGACGTCATCAACGATGTCGCGCTCGGCCCGCGGCTTAGACCGAAAATGTTAACTTTGCGCCTTTATATCTCGGTCAGTTTTGAAGATAGAAAGAAATTAAAAACACGGTTATTCTCGTAATTTTTTGTAGATTTTTTTGGCATATAAAACAAAAAATGGTTATCTTCTCCATTCTTGTATCACAAGATAACTAGGCCCAACTCATTGTTGATAGTTTAAAATTTTATTAAATTTGTTTAATTTGTATCTATTTCATTTAATTTGCCCAAATTCACAAGACCTGATCATAGAGGCACATGATTTTAGTGTATATTTTATTAATAATAATCATATTGTTAAATTAAAGGATGACTATCAAGATGCACTGGATAAACTACAACTTACAGTTACAAAGGCATACAGAGTAAATAGCAATATAAAATTTGAAGTGTTCATCCATAAAGTAAGTACTTCCCAAGCCTGACTCAGTTTTATATAGTGTAGTGGATTATTTTTAAATACTTGTTGAATAGATAGTTTTCGCATTTATTGCTAAAATGAAAAAGTCAAATATTGCTAATGCTTTGATTAGCATTATTTGACTTTTTCGTTTTCAAAATATGTTTTATTGAATATCAATTACAACACTTAATAATTTCAGGTAGATGGTCTAAATGATGATTATAAAATGGAATCTCAAAGAGACATTCATCATAGAGCAAATGAAGACTTGGTAGAAGCAGGCTTAGAACATGTTCATTTATCATTTCACCTAACCTCTATTTATGATCATTCTATATTTGAAGCGTTCAGTAAAGTTGTACAAAAGTTAATTCCGCAACTGCCTACCTTAGAAAATCTTCTCAATATACTAATCTCTGTAAGTATATCAAAATCATTTCTCTTCAAATTTGCAACATGTTTGACTTGCTCAGTAGACAATTTATAGGTCTCTTTTTTTGTATGAGGTTTGAGACGGAAAGGGATTGGGCATCAGGGTGAGGAAAGTGGACGCACAAGACTGACCAGTATGACCATTTGTGGCAGATCATAACAAATCTTGCAGAACAAGTCAAAAAATTTGTTATTTATTTGTGAATCATCTAACTATGACTGGCATATTTTTGACATTTTAGAAAAAGTTGGAACATATTATTCTTTTTCTGCTTTTCTCTTTTATGTTTTTCACAATTGTATTAAGCTCTACACAAGCGCGTTAGTTCCTTTCCCTTTTCTTCATCCCACCCATGCTCCGCTTGAATCCGTTGTTCAGATGAGTGTAATTTAGCTTATAATTCTGTTTTCGGTGTGTTTACATACTACAAAAATAACATTGTGCCTCAATGTAAAACATTAGTAAGTCAAAGTAGAAAAATAGTTTATTACGTGGTTGTTTATTACATCTTTATGTTAATGATGTATAGATCTTTATGTCAATAAAGCATAGGAAGGTACACAAAATTTGAACCAGGTACACATCAACCCAATAACTGATTTCAGGTCCGACCCTGAATTAGAACCCGGAGCCTGATAAAACAATTTGAATAATAATCTCCTGCCTATTTTTTTTTTCAGAATTCCGGAATTGAAAAAGCATTCCTGTTTGATGTAGTTTCCAAAATATACATAGCAACTGACAGCTCTCCTGTAGATATGCAAAGTTATGAATTATGCTGTGATATGATAGATGTTGTCATTGACATATCATGTATATATGGGTGTGTAATGAAAATAACTTCCGTATTATTGAATTTTTTTTGCTGATATAAAAATTTACTGACTTATGAAACTTATTGTAACAGGATGGTGGATGAAACCGAAGTTAATACATTCAATAGTCAAAGCTCAAGCCTTATTAAGCTCAATAATGGTACAGTGCTTTATTTACGTGAGGTCAATAAATTTCTTGCACTCGTTTGTATTTTACGAGAAGAAAATTTTCAAAAGCAGGGTAATAATTTAATAATAATAATAATTTATTTTATTTTGATAAACTGTACAAATTATTCCAATAAGTCTTAATTTAAAAATAGTTTACAATAACAGGCACCTGAACTAGGATAAACCTGTATCTTAGGTGTATGTGCTAAAAGATATATTAACAAATATTTTCTGTTTTTTATATAAAATGAATAACGTACTAACTAATAAGGGTTATTTGGGTAAAATATATTATCATTAATTTACTTATGATATTAATTAACTTAAAACAATCAGCAACTTCTCCGTTTCATCGTATGACAAATTTTGTAACCATTACTACAAATTAAGGTATTTATAAGTAAATTGTCATACTATTTATTGGCTTTTATCATAATTTTTCTAAAGAGAAATCTGGTGACAGTTTTTTTGTGGATGTGGATGGAGTCCGTGTGTCTGTCTCATTCTGTATCCAAGTATCCGACTTCAAACAAAGAAGGCTTCAGATGCACGGACACTTATATGCACTTAAATGGAATTCCTCACAGACTCCACAATTTTCAGACCGAAAACATCAGTGCACAAACTGTTGTTTGGCCCCAGATGGACACCTACGCAGTAATTGAAGTCTTACCTAGAGTTTTATTTGTTTTAGGAGTGATTGATTATAATTTCTTGTGCTTCCGTGATGCAATCACCCAAGTTTTTGAGCTTCGCAATAAAAGCCAAGGCGCAGCAGCAGCCGCTAGAGCCCGCGCGGACTCCGAGTTATTGGCCAATGGTGGGGGAGATTCTGCAGAAAGTACATCCGACCATTCTCAAGTACAACTAGCATAGCACAATATTTATTAATTTATGTTATTTCTATGTTAATCATAGAAAAAAAGCTTAAAAATTTAATATGTGTATTTTGTATAATATGTTCAATTAAATAGATTTTTTCATTATAATATATTGTTAATAAAAGCATATTTTTTTTCACCACTTAATTTATTATCTGAATACGGTACCTATAATTAGAGTAAACCCCGTTCGAAGTCCCCGACACCCGAAAAACTAAGTTTTTAGTGGACTTCATTTACAATTCAACTGTATGTTACGCGATATCTTCGTCAATCGTGAACCCATTTCGATGATTCTTTTTTACTAAATGGGTAATCATCTTCAGGGGCAGTGATTTATGAATTTCAAGAAAAAAAAATTACATTGACCCTGTAGACCATCCCTGGAACTTCCCGCTAATTTCAAATGCAAAGTGCTCCAATTTTCACCAAATTATGTCGTTGTATATGAAATATCGGAGTAATTTAAAAAAAATCAATTTTTTCAAAATTTTTAGTAAACGATATCCTCACGAACGAATCAAACGATTTTGACCGGATGTGCGGCGATTGACATTGTCAGAAATACGTAGATCTTTTATTTCACTGAAAAAATGGTATGAATCCTTAGTATATGCTCTTGTGTGTCCTCTGAGTGGTGATAATATTTTGGCTAAGTGTTGAGCCAATCTGTAAGTTGGCGAATCAATCTAACTCACTATTGGACGTAATGGAGCGTTCGGTTTGTGTATTTTTGGTAACCCATACAATTTCGGTGGTTTGGCACACGCAGGTATTATAGAAATAACGTCTAGATTCAATTTATCGGATTATTTCTTAATTAGATCGCTAGTTGTTTTAAGCGTATTAGTTGTAGGGTCTGTTTTAACCTTTCTGTATGTACTTTCATCCCACAAAAGTTGTTTGTATTTAGAAATTGTAATCTGACGTATCCATTAGAACTGTAGCATTACCTTTATCTGCACGAGACTTCAAGACAGAGTAAGTTCATTCTGCATAGATCGGACCATAAACAATAATTAAAAAGCTGAAGGTACTCCGGGTTAACATTGACATCGGGACGCCAGTTACCTCAGTCTCCCGTGACCGTGGGTGCTGAAAAGCACCCGAAAGGTCGGGAATTAAAAATCGTATATATTAAACGCGATAAAATCCGTAAAAGTATAATCAATGTGTAGTGTTCGCGTAAATATAAGAAATTTAAAATATTAAATAACTCCGAATTTTCAAAAACCTTCCGTGGTTCAATTCTCGTATATATTTGACAATATTGATAACTGTGTTCATTACAGCTTCTATTTCTGGATTTACAACACGCGCCGAATACAAGAAATGTTATTAAAATAGTTGAATTATATTTTTCTTTAAATAACGAAATAAATCCATTTTCGGATCTAGTCATTAAAGGATAACCATCTGTACACAGATACACGATATTGTGTATGTCAATTTCTTTCTACTTTAAAAAATTGCAAATAATATCAAGTTAATCTGTGCCTTTCATTGTTTCCTGTTCCAAATTGTTTTCTGTACAATATCTAACAAACACTGAGCATTATGATGTTGCTGTAATGTAGGTGCTGGAATCAAATGCCAAGCTAATTTTGCACTTTCTTATGTTAACTAATATAATATCATCGCTAATAAGTTTAGAAATGTCTTCAATAACGACCTAGCGTATACAGGTTGAATCCGAGAGTTGTAGTTTTTTTATATCAGATAGTATTTGCTTTTTGTTACTGAATTTATCAAAAAGTAGGTATATTGGCAGCACTAACAAAACACTCCTTTACAATTTCTGCATCGGTAAATGGTTTCATATACTTACCAAGTGCAACAAATTTCATATGATGACTTAGTTACCGCGGAGTCTTTTGATAATGCCACGGATCATAGTGTTGAAAAAAAGAGGAAACGTTTCGTCGTAAGATTTATTTTTATATTTATTGTGGTAAAATTCCGCGAAATATTGTATTTCTTCGATATAATATTTACGCGACATAATATCAAGAAGCTGCATTGTTTTTGTTTGGCACAACAAAATAAAAGCAAATTAAACTAGACATAATTATTTATTAATTCTTCCACACTATGCACCGACTTCAGAATGAGGGATTTTTTTATTCTTTTTAATTCTTTGTTGTCTGCTTTTATTTTTTATTAAATGTTTTTTTCAAATGCCTTTGAAAATGCCTTGCCATAGAAACAATTTGCGATAGCAGTGCCAGTACCAGACGTTTGCATGCTTGACGCTCTCCCTATTTTGGGGTCTCGCTATCTTACTTATTTTAAGTCTGGTATTTAGATTATTCCTTCATCTGTAAAAAGCCCTTGGAGTCTGTGACTTAGTCGATTTTTATAAACTAAAGATAAAAAGCTGTTCGTTTTTATGATGATTACTAGTTTTTTAAGTATTTGAATCATTCGATATAACTGAAAAACTCAAAATTGGTGTTCAAAATAGCAATAAGACATGTTTGTCCTCGGTCGATTTTCGACCATGGCGACAATTTCTGAATAATTGGAAGTAGCGAACTGCGTAGGAGTTATTATATTGTTACAATTGTAGTAGCAAACAGACTTTTTTATAGTTTTTATAGCACGAATGAGTCTACTCAACCGGGGAAGGACCACGCTCTCATAGAATACCAGCGTAAAATAGTAGTGTTACGAGCTTGAGGTTCGTGACAATAAAAACTGCCGATTGAATCACCAAAATTTACACTTTTATTCTCGAACACCAATTAAAACTTAAAATATTAATAATTAACCACACTGATTCACTTTATTTCGCTCCGAAGCTTCGCTTGTCTCGCCAAATTCAAAACTGCCCCGACCGCGTCTTGCAGCGTCCTTAAAAACATCTTTTTCACCGAAACGTCCAGATTATTCAAGTAAATACGCGCGCCAACCGACCAGACGCAGAAAGTTCGAGTGTGGGGCTTCCAGAGAACTTAATTCTTTTGTTCGATACTAGATGGCGCTGTTGGTCGAAAGTCAAGATTGACATTTTCTAGGAAGCCCTTCTTGCTCTGGTCCCCGACACTAGATGGCGCCAGCTCCAGGCACGTGACGTCAACTTAGGCGCGCAACAGTAGCTTAATGCTGCTGTGTTTTGTATGGTGAGTGTGGAGAACCGAAGACCCTTTTTACTGGAAACGAGGCATTCCATCTTAATCCTCACGGGTGACAACGCATCTGCATTTTGATTCGTAATCGAGGATAGATGTAGATGTCTACGGGCCACAGCAACCACTTTCGCGTGGACTGTATGCTGGTTTGTCACCCTATCCTATAGAAAAAAGTTTACTCATTCTTAACTATGCGTGCCATTTCATAAGATAGGCTTATAGGCTCAGAGGCAAAAGGAGGCTCAAGAGGCACGGATACTAAGTATATCACGACATAAACTTTCACGCCTGTCTCCCAGTGGACACTACAGACCAGAGACTACAGACTTCCATTAGGCACGATTCTGTCACATCTCTCACTTTTCCGCATACATGTATCATTACATTACGCATATATGTGATTACACATACACATTCCCGTCGGTTTGGCCTATGTTTTAATACATGCCATGTACAGTGACATGCTTTCCATTTCGTTTCGCCTGTTACACATAACGCAATATTATCTCTATTCAACTTTATCACTCGCTTAGCACCACCCGAGGGACACGTGTAGGATGGGCCTAGGTTTCGGTGGTTGAAATCTACGTAAGGAAGCGATCCGCCCCGATATGTCCATTTGCACAGTTTACTCTGGCTCGTATTCAAATCTGCAATTTAAAGTAATAATTGACAAACATAAAAGAAGAAAGATCAATCAAAAACATTTATTTTTTTAAAAGCGTGCTATAATGTACCTAAAAAATAATAATATTGCATTATTGAACACAATAAAAAAGCGCAAAAAAATTCAGTGTAAAATATAAAATTTGGTGTTTGTCTATAAAGGTAAGTATAAAACAATATTTTGTAGATGAGTATGTAGTACTGATAATAATCTTTTTAATATATAGGAAAGAATAAATATATAATAAATAAGTACATGTTTCAATTTTGTAAGAGAAAAACAAATTAAAACAGAATATTTGAAAAATATTTGCTTTGAATTAAATAAGATTTGTATCGGAACCTATATTAAATATCTTTGATTTTCTTAATTTACAAAAACAATCAAATTCTGCTGTAGAATTCATTGGGGGCTGTAATCGGGATAAAGCTGTATGTATACAGTCGATGCTTGAATTATTTGCGGTGAATCTAAATCGACGCTCACGTTCTATTCGTAATTTTTCAACATGCTGCGTATTCGCCACAATACGTTGAAGCATTGCCAAGCTATCTGTGCGGGCAGGGAACCGTTCCATATTGGTAGCAACTTCTCCAACTTCAGCTGTGTCGGTATCCACAATTTCTTGATGATCCAATATCATTCCCAAATTTAATTTTAAGTTCGTGGTACCATCCCTAAATAATAGATACACTGTAGCTTGATCCAAAACTCTCAAAGAGAAATGTTCATTAATTTTTAATGCCTTCGTTGTTATTTGAAATGGTTTAAATTTTTGCGTCAACTTTTTACTTTTTTCTTTAATAAAATTATCGAATTCTATTGCCAACATCTCTTCATTATCTCTCCGCGGTGTATTACCTTCAGTTCCATCAAGTTTTAATATATCAGGATCTTTCACAGCCAATTGAGTATTTATCATTACTTTTTGCAGGATAGGAGGGTCATTAAGGTCGTGCCATTTCCAGTGTGAAATAGGGCCTATTCCCCTATCCATAATGACACCTTCGGTTTGGTTATACTTGAGCCTGAAAATGCAGCGTACATAAATATATTATGTGTGTTATAACTATTACCAAATTACGAATATTTTTGTCAGCTTGAAATAATAAGCACCCTAATTTTTAAGTTCATCAACAATATTACCATCAACGATCTTAATTGGAAAGAAAAGTTCTCAGCGGGCTTAGTAAAGTTGACTTGCCTAAATCGTTAAAACAAATGAGTACACAGTCCACCTGATAGAAAGTGGATGCTGTGGTCATAGACATCTACATCTTCCTCGATTAAAAATCTAAATGCAGATGTAAAGAATAAGATGGAATGCCTGGCTTCCAATAACAAGGGTCTCCGGTTTTTTACGCTCACCATACGAAACACGTCCTTCCCCGGTCAAGGCAACCCATTCGTGCTACAACCATAATATAGATTCATGGATCTACCACGTAAAAATGATATTAGTGAGTCACGTTTCTTAAAGTTGAAATATGTCATTCCCATTCATTTTAATGGTTTTCTATAAGAGCTAACGATTGTAAAGTCAAGTTGGCTAGCCCTGCTAGGATCAAAACGCACTGCATTTTGATTCTTAATCAAAGATGAATGTAGAAGTCTGGACCACATACCATCTGTTGAACTGTGTGTTCGTCACCCAAAAATAAAAATAAATTTATTTCATACCATTCATCGGTACCTAACCACAGCCACCATTGTTAGTGGGGAGAACCGCGTGGGGTTGGCATTTGAAAAAAAAATTTAATATCTTTACATCCAGACATTCCTATATAAAAATCAATTGCTATTTGCTGTGCGTTAGTCGTGCTAAAACTCAATAACGGCTCGACCGATTTTAATGAATTTTTTGGTGTGCGTTTGAATGTTGATTGATGGATGACCCTGGATGATTTAGATTCACAATTTGACCCGGTTAATGGAGTTGTTTTCAAGATCCAGAAATCACCTGCGTGAAGCCGGTGCGCATCGCTGGTTTAAAATCTGTGTGATAACCCGTAACAGTCAACAGCTGTACATTTCCTTCTCCAGTTATAGGGAGTATTTGCTTTATTCATCACGCTTGACAGATTGACGATCGCAGCACAAGACTAGACGGAATGAATAGTACTTATTCTGGTTTTATTCGCAGCGACATTTTCTTGTCCTAAAGTAAAAAAAAAACAGTCCATTGCTTAACTTAGGATATTCCCATTGATAGAAGAATTTGGCATAATCAGCATTTGACACACCCAGGAGAGAATAATGTGATGAATTCTATAACTCTGCTAAACGCGTAGAAAATATTCAATAGCTGTAAGAAATGAGTAGAAGTACAGAGGCATGTATTGTCAGAGAAACTATAACGACAATGAACTTGTTAGAAAATTAAAACACGAACACAATTTAATAAATGTCTAGAAAAAATGAAGATATAACAATATTGTACCTAATTTTACCAGTGTGATCAAATACAACGCCATTCCCAAGGTAGTCGAACGTTGCAAGAACCGTTATGGGCCGGACGCGCCGTCTATCATCCGGGTCTCCGTTACTATATACCACGTAGCGCTGTCCAGCATTCATTTCTAAACAGAATATATTTATTATATTAAGACTAAGTGGTTTTCATTCTCTCTTGCTTAAAACGAGTAAAATTTAATGGGACTCACATTTTTGAAATGTTAAAATACAGTTTATATTTCCCTATTTACGCATTAAGATAATATATAGGTAGGTTAAAGAACAACGTTAAAGAAAAAATTTACTACAATATTGCTTTTATCATAAAACATGAAAATGGATGCTGCTTATAGCCGTTCTAGACTATAAAACTAAATCTATATTTCAGCATAATGTGATACCACTCCCCGCACAAAATTAACATTAATTTATTTACATATATTAAGTAAAGAATTTACGAACTTCTTTATAAATAAAACAACAGGTTTATAAATTAAGTACAATATTAAAATGTACCCTATTTGTAAATGGTGCTACTGCACGTTGGTGTATGTATGTAAGAGGGAAAAGATTATCATCTATGATCTAATAATTTAGACCATTGATTTATATATTACACTAGATTAGTAATTACCGCGCCAAATCGTTGCCACTGCCCACTGCACATATGGCCATAGCCATATGCCTAGCTAACGTCAGTTCATTGTTCAATGTGACGCTGACAGGGTTGAGCCGAACGATCCGCGACAAAAAATGGGTAGGTACATGCGTAGTGAAAGAATGCGGATTCAAGGTTACAAAAACATAATAAACCAAGTGGAATCTCTTTTCTCATATAAGTTTTAGTTCATGTTTTCATATAAACATAAAAACCTCAAATAAATAAATAAAATTATCGAATATTGCGATTTAGTTTCAATGTTGTCACTTTTCCGCCTTTGAGATCATTCCACATTAATGGGGGACTATATAATTAATGGAGTAAGTTAATTTGTTACCTCTGATTTAAAATATTTTGAAAATTATAATAAAAACTACGTTTTAACTTTCATACAAAATAATTATACTTATTTTAGTTTATTCATGAATGATCTATTAAATATATTTTGTTCAGTAGATTTCATCAGTTACGCTTACTTCTATTCATCTGATAAGAAAATATATGTTTTTTTTTAAATAATAACAATTAACTGCAGCTTAAGAAAATCCTTTTTATTGCGTATTTTGGGTAAAATTTCACATTGTAAGCCACACCAACCCGCCATTGCATGTTTGTGTGTCTATCTTTATCTAATCTTAGCGACGGTATTATTTTTGCAACTTGTGAGTGTGTGTGAGTGAGGCAGATATATGTTTATTTTAAATGTTTAGTAATTCCAAAACTACGTCATCGAGGTTGGATAGTGGTTACACTTTTTTCGACGCGCGATATTGTGGTTTGCTCCTTTAGTTTTGTATAATGTCGCCTCTACACGTTGGCCAACACAGTGGCGAATGTAGTGGCCAATAGCATTGGCCAACGTGTAGACGGGGTGTTTGGGCTTCATTGGTATGTATTGGGACGGTGGCCCACAAGTTGGCGCGAGATCCGTGCGGTGTCGGTTTTTTACAAAAGATCAAAGGATTGTTGGCAGAGTTTGGTCACCGCGTCCACACGTTGGTCACGCGTCAGGATGCCGGCAGTGTGATTACACGCATCTGATTTAAATTTTATATTCAAGCTTTGTAGGATGGATGCCCCAATTTTACCATCCTTTTAGTACCAATTTCAACTTTAAACATTCCTACTACTTTAATTAGTGCGATTTAATTATTTTTAAACATTTGTTTTAATCGCTTAACTATTTATCAAAAAAATAACGAACATTTATTTACAATCAGATTATTACGAGAACAATTTTAAAATGAAAAAAAAAATGAAGCACGTCGTTTATACGTGGTAGAACCATGCAGTTATATTAGAAGTATATATAGTTGTAGCACGAATGGGTTGGCTCAACCGGGGAAGGACCACGCTCTCACAGAATATCAGCGTAAAATAGTAGCTTAATGATTGTGTGTTTCGTATAGTGAGTGTAGAGAACCAGAGACCCTATTTAAAGGAAACGAGGCATTTCATCTTTGTCCTCACGGGTGAGAACGCATATGCATTTTGATTCGTAAACGAGGATAGATGTAGATATCTGTGGGCCACAGTAACCACTTACCATCAGGTGAACTATGTGCTCGTTTGTCACCCTATCCTATAAAAAAACGTCGACTTCTTATACTTCAATCGTGCAAGTTTTCGAATCATCATCATCATTACAGCTGTTTACAAGTCCACTACTGAACATCCTCCTCCACAGACTGCCGCAAAGCATGGTCCTGAGCCACTTTGATCGTCATTAGTTTTTCATTTATGTTCTAAGTTATAATTAGTAACTATTATCAAGTTAGTTTTTAATTATATTTATTGCTATTGTTTTTGTCTTTCTCAAAAAAGAAATAAATTACCAAATAAATTATAAGGTGTTTTTTATATACATCAAATGTCTGATAGAAATGCAAGTATATATTTTGCTAAACTTTAAAATCAAAACCCAATTTTAAAACATAGACTAATCGATTATAACTCCTTTAACTTTAAAATAAGTTAAGTTCTTATTAATTGTATTTATTCCAGTTTATGATGCATGTAAAGAATAAATAAACCTAATCGTATATCGTATTTCTATTTACAGGCCCATTAATATCCACTATTCTTTTATAATTATTTTATAAAAACGTAACCCCCCACACTGGGATTTTCTCCTGTATCGCGGAGGCAGCTTACAAACATAAATTGCACAAGGACACACATCCAGACCCGAAACAATTATTTGTAGAATATACAAATACTTGTTCCGTGCGGGATTCAAACCCGCGGCCCCCGGTGCAGCTACTCATTGCTAAGCCACTGCGCCACGGAGCCGTCGTTCGTCCGCACATTGGCCCGAACCGAAGTAAACTGAACGACCTTCCAACGTGTGGACGCCTTCACCAACTCTCGGCAAATATATTCTCCACTACATTCGCCACTGTATTGGCCAACGTGTAGAGGCGACATAACACAATGATTAAGACACAATGTCAAAAAACATACAATGGCTAAAGTTAATAGAACTGTATCATCAGCCAGCCCCGGATATTCAATTTTTTTTAGGTTGGGCAAAACTGAAAAATGCCGCCCCGCCCACTTATATTTTACCTTTATCATCTTTATAATTTCAGCTATCAGATGTCCACTAATTGATTGACATTTGGACATAGGAAATGATGAATCCATCGCTGTTCTTTCTGTGTTAAGCGTATTTATTTACTTACAGATATATAGACATGAATGTGTAGGGGATATGTATTTTATACACAGCACAGGATAGGATTTAAAATGAAAATATGTAAATATAATAGAAATTATAAATATATCAATATCGGAGTTTTATATATAAGTTTATTTATCGATATATCGAAAATCAGATATTTTAAAAAATTACAACAGTCCTAGTTTGAACTGATCAGTTG